GGGTCTTTGGGTCACATAGTTTGATGAGTGGAGGAGGAGGTGAGTTCAGGAGTTGGGGGGAGGAATCCTGTGAGAGGGGCAATGCATATGAACTTTGTAAATAAACCAGTGTAAAATAAAATAAAAAAAATATATATTGATTGTAACAAATAAACAGAAAAACCCAACAAAAACAACAAAAACGGATGAAAAACCCCCCCCAAAATTGTACTGTCAAAGTGCTTTTGCTTTTTGTGTAAAAAGCAAGAAATCAAATTTGTATGGATAACAATATTAAGCAAGCTTTTTAAAAAGATAAAAATTCAGATCTTCATCCCTTCAATACTTTTTTCAACACAGTGAGAAAAATATACTTGATTAAAAATATGAAATAAAAGACGAAACCATGACAAGTTCATGACCCTTTATCTAGGATTTCCAAATACAGAAAGCTGTGAAAATTTGTTTACCATTCAGTTGACAATAGAGCTTAGTCTGAAAAGACAGGAAGCTAATGAGTCTTTATCCTGTGTGACCATGAGAATTTGCATAATTCACTGGTGAACGCTGATAGGTGTAATTATAGGTTTATGCCCACACTTTGTACAGGATGTTCAATCATGCATGGCCTATGCTCTTTCTTAAATGCACAAAAGAAACACTTGAACTATAATTTCTGTACGGTTTAAAATGTTTTCTTCTGTTTTAACTGTACCTTCTTTAAAAATGTTTCATATTTTCAACCTAAAATTCACAGTACAGCTTTAATAAGGTACATTTGTCAGAAGAGAAAGGAATGCAAGGAAGGTAAAAAATGGAAATAGGTTGTCTTCTTAAACGGAGTCATTAGTTACTAAAGTTAAATGATATAATTTAATTTATATTACTCAATTATTTCAAAGCATCTTAAAAGGACTCATTCCACCGTATTTTAAAAAATTTGAAAGTTAATATATCATTACCACTTTTCCAGCTTTCCTGATGGTTTGATATTTAGAGGGATTAATTGTTTTAGTTGATTTCTTCGTTTTTACTTTATCCAAAACTGCATAGATAGCAAAACATAAGCGAGCCATTCTTGGCAGGTCACAAGTATTAATATCGAATTCCAGTGGTTCATTCCAAATGTGATCATTTTTTCCAGATATTTCTGAGCTTACGATGGTTTTACACAGGAGCTCAGTACCATGAAAGACGCCGGCCCTGACGTGGACCTGTACCAGGGAAGAAAAACATACATACCCCGAAATCATGAACACGTTATCACGGAGACATTCCTGTTCTACAGAAAGAAGCAGCATATGGAGAGGAAAAGCACAACTACTCCTGGACCAACTAAATTAATCCGTACACTGTTCATTTAAGCTGCAGTTAGTTTACCTAGCTTACACTTGGGAAACTAACCAGCATAAGTTCTATAAAATTCTAGAATGATCCAAATATGAGGGCATTAAAAGGTATAAACAGGGTATTAAGAAACAAAGATAAAAAGTGTAAAAACTATTATAGGCTCTTTCCCACTGACAAGGGTTTGAATCTCTGCTTTCATGTCTTAGAAGTGGAAGTGCTGGGTCATATGACAGCTCTGTTTTTCAGTTTTGCAGTAATCGCCACCACATTTCCATATAATCTCATTAACACTTAGTAGAGGTGATTGAAAACATGGCCTTGTTTCTGTGCTAACAGATGCTGCTGTTGCAAAGGGCCATCAAGTCCCCTACAAGTCACAGCATTCCTTCAAACGACAGATCTGAACTTGCCCTATCGCTGAACTTGCCTTATCTCCCAAGCTCCTCAGAAGCTCTGAGACGGTCTACCTCATTGTTACACTGTGTCAATTCATCTTGAGTTTTCCTCTCTTCTCTGACCCTCCACCTTTTCTAGTATGATGTCTTTCTCCAAGGAATGGCCCCTCCAGGTAACAAGTCTAAAGCATAGAAGATGAAATTTTTCCATCCTTGACTCTAAAGAGCACTCTGGATACAGTTCCTCTGAGACAGGCATGCTTGTTCCTCTGGAAGTTATTGTATTTCCAGTACTCTTCTCCAGCATCCTAACTTACAGGCATCAAGTCTTCTGTCATCCCTATTGACTGTGCAACTTTAGACGTATAGGAAGGAACTGAAGAGACCATGGCTTGAATCACACTCACCTTAATCTTTAAACTGACATTCATTCTGCAGACCTTTGGAGAAGTCCTTGACAGCAGATTTTTCCCAATGCAACACATTTTTTGATGCCTTGACTGCTTCTACCATGGGTGCTGACTGTGGATCCAGGTACAAGGAAATCGATGACAACATTGATCTTTTCTCCATCTATCACAATTTTGCTTCGGGGTCCAGTGGTGAGGATTTTTATGTTCTTGATGCTGAAATGGAATCCATATTGAAAGCTGTAGTTTTTGATCTTCTGCCGCAAGTGTTTCAAGTATTCTTCACTTTTCTGCAAACGTGACTGTGTCATCTGTGTAACAGGTTGCTGATCAGCCTTCCTCCAACCCTGATGCCATGTTCGTCTTCACAGCTTCTCTAATTCCTTGCTCAGCACACAGACTGATTATGTACAGAGAATGGAAATACAGAACAGATACAGAGAAAGCTCGGACACTCCTGATTCTAAGCCATGCAGTGTCCCCTGGCTTCATTCAAACAAGAGCCTCTTGGTCTAGTTACAGGTTTCTCGTGAGCCGAAGGGTTCTGGGATTTACATTCTTCTCAATGTTGTCCATAATTTGTTCTAATCCACAGAGTCAAATGCCTTTGCGTAGTGAATAAAATACAGGTAAACATCTTTCTGGTATTCTCTGCCAAGATCTAGCTGACACCAGCAATTATATTATCCTTCATTCCATGGCCTCTTCTGAATCCGGCTTGAATTTCTAGTTGTCCCCTGCTTATCTACTACTGTTGAACCTGTTTTGGATTAAGTCTTCAGCACTATTTTACTCACACGTGATCTTCACGATACTGTTTGATAGCTAAGAAAGTATATGTCTTTTTTTTATTTAAGTTTCACAACAGTTCCCTTAGGTAAGTTTAATTCTTATTCTATTTTTTTTATTTGTATAATTTGTTATCATGGATGTTATCATGGATGGAAGCTCAACACCCCGAAAACAAAGATTCTCACCACTGGGCTGAGTGGCAGCATCAGGATGGATGGTGAAGAGATGGAGATTGACAACAGCTTTAGTTTGCTTGGCTCCACAGTCAGTACTCTGGGTACCAGCAGCCGGGAAATTAAAAGACAAATTGCATTTGGAAAGTCAGCTGTCAGGGACCTTTCCAGAGTACTGAAGAGCAAGGATGTCAACCTGGAGACTAAGGTGCACTTGATCCAGTCCATAGTCTTTGCAATTACTTGCTATGCATCAGAGAGTTGGACAATGACTAGGGATGATGGAAAGAGAATTGATGCCTTTGAGCTGTGATGCTGGAGGAAGAGTACTGAGTATACCATGGACTGCTAGAAGAAACAGGTTTGTCCTAGAGAGGGTGAGACCAGGCTGTTCCTTGGTGGCAAGGATTCTGAAACTTTGTCTGACATACTTTGGACATGTTGCAAGGAGGGACCAGTCAGTCCTTGGAGAGGGACATCATGCGTAGGAGTGGGAGGGACAGCACAAGAGAGGAAGATCCTTGATGAGATGGATTGATTCAGTGACTGGGGTTATGGGGGTGGGTGTGTCAGAGACAGTGAGATTGGCACAGGATAGAGAGGGCTGTTGTACACAGGATCACTATGAGTTGCAGGCTACTTAATGGCACATAACAACAACAACGCGTAATTTAAGATGTATTACAAAGTGCATAAATCAGGTGATAGAATACTGTATATAGTATCATTCCTTTTTTTTTAACCTATCAACAGATAAAAACAAAGATAATGAAAACCCTTTCATTCTCCAAAGCACATAATTATATGTATTTGTATAAACATGGAGGACTACTCACAAAGCTTGAGAAAGTTGAGTCCCTTATTTATAATGGGGTGGAGAGATTATTAATTTTTCTTTAATTATTCCAGGACTTTCTCCTGGATTCAACAATCATGCTATAGTTTTCCAAGTGAAAAAAAAAAAGTAATAAAGAAAATTAAAGTTTTGTAAATCCAAGCACTGAAATAAAAAAGGCTAACTGGGCATTAGCACTTTTACCAAAAAGAAAATTCCAGTTGACAACAGAAAAACAAATCCCTTATTTTAATGATAACTTCTCAAAAAATCTTTAATATCCATGCACGAAAGCAAGCCTTTCTGGCAAAATGCTCTTAAATATATTATTATACCAGTACACACTGAAAACTCACTTAATCTCATTATCCTGGATCACAAACTAGTCATTTCATTTTCTGATAAAGGAAATACATACTTTATTTTACACTTATAGACAAAATGTCTTGTTAAGTCTTTAATTGTATGGAGCTTTGCAATAAATTCCCATGTGTTAACAACTTCTGGTCTCAATCTATTTCTGTAGTCAATCTATTTTCTTCCACAAATAGTATTATATTATATCTATGTTCAGCAAGATTTTAAAATAAGGGAAAAAGCCTTCAAAAAGTGGATTATGAGTGCAGCTCTAAGCAAGGTTGAGCACAGAAGATGAGCTTGCACAGAAATAAGTAAATCTTAGTTTTTGCTTTAATTTCAGTTCCTGAATTTCCTGATCCATAATGAAACCATTTGTTATACACTAGAAAAATAAGATACATCTTAGTAAACCTCAAAAAAGATTACAACAAAAATTCTCAATAGTCTCAAATCATTTGCCATAAAGATAATTATTTTATTTCTTAAGTGAGATTCTTCAGTGAATCTGTGAATTGTGCAAATAATGGAGTAGATGGCACATTGAAACCCTAGAAAGACTCACTTTTAAAAAAAA